AGATTGTCCAACTGTAGAGAGCAACAAAATGAACTATAAATTTATAATAATATTTTGCCCAATCTCGACAAAACCATTAATAAATCAAAGTTTTAGCCAAATGTTCATCTATGCTTGATAATTTAACTCCACTCAATCAAAACATAAAGCCCTAAGTTGGACAATGTATTTTTTATCAAGCTGGTCCTCTTTAACAAGTTCCATATATAAATAATATAGTGACTTTCTTCTTTTGTAAGTTATTGTCTAAAAAGAGTTTATTTCAAATTCACTTAAATCTTTATCTTGAGAAATTACTTAGCTTGGCATAAAATATTAGCAACCCAATACTAAATACTAGCCTAAAAATTTGAGAAAAACATATAAACTAGTATATTAGTGATAATTTGAAGCTTTTTCTTGCTAATTTACAAGGTATAATAAATGATTGAGATGTTGGTTCTCTAGACAAGGATGAGATAAAGATTGGGAGTGAGCTTATGCAAACATCTCTAAGCCAAACTTCTTTATTTGGCTCATAAACTTGGTTGAGTTTACAAAGGTTTTGATAAAGTTTATTTTTGAATTTTTGCATGTCATAAATGCTTATCAAGGCAATGTAAATAGGAGTATACTATAATAATGGCTTGTCATTTTTGTTATGGTAGTGGTGATCGCAACTATCACCATGCTTTCGGCATCTTTATAAATGATTAATTTTTTTTTACTTTAGGATCATCTAAAGGAGTCTCACTCATAATCTCTATAAGCCCTGATATTAATTTGGGTGTTTGTTAACTTTAAGATGTGTTCTTGTAACCACATCAACTTTGTACTTAGTCTAAATGCTCTATGTGTCCAATTCCACTTTTGGATACCTTTTATGAAGTCCAAATTTAAAAACTTATATTTGGTATTAGAGAAATCTAAGGTGTGATTCTATTAGTTGATTAAAGAAATCACACCACATGTTAAAATTGATATTTAATAAGTTTAATTTACTCCAATTTCAACTCAAGGGGTAGGGTGTTAAAAGAGCGAGGCTCTTAGAAGAGCTGCAACTTTCAACTTCCATTTATGAAGGCATGAACTTGCAAAAAAGCATGATGGATTATAAACAACCAAAGATAATAACTTAAAAAATTATTAATATTGTTTTAAATATAGAAATGTACCTTTTGTTCCAATTAGTTATAAATCTTAGGTTATTTGAGATTAAACATCTTTAAATAGTATTGGGTTAGATGACCTTCTAGAAAGCCTAAATTCATGAGATTATCGTGCCATAAATAATATATGTTAATGTTTGTAAAGAACCTAGCAAAAAAGAAAACAATTTAAAATTAAACAACCTTTTGAAAATGAAATATTTACTAGAATGTTCAAAATAAGTATTTAGAAAGCATTTTCATTAGAGCTACTCTCAAGTAACACTTGATGTGTTTCAAATGATTTCATAGTAAAAACTATCTTTATACTTCATTTTTAAAATAATTATAAGTTTTGTTTAATACATATTTTGTATTTTGTAAAAGATGTCTACAGACACTCAAAAACCTTTTGCTATTAAATTATTGTCATTCAAGCACTTGCTTACAATAGTTAAAGCACAATACAGTGTTTGGTTTTATGGGATGGCATATATATGTAATTAAGGAGAGTAAAAAAATTTCTATATAGAGTTTAGTAAGTAAATGGAATTGTGAACAATGATAATTTTCATAAGTCTTTAAACTGTAGTTTGTAACATATTTTAGCTAAACATTAATTTAAAGAATAAGTTGAAGTTGGTAAAGATAATATAAAGTTATCTCCTACAATATGTGATGATAAATAACAATTAAGCCACTTGTATATACTTTTGAAATGCATTACCTACGAGAGGTGGATTAATGTTAATTAACTTCATTCCTAGAATTGTTTACCAAATATGCCAAAATAAAAAATGCCGCTAACATGAAATCATCTGAGTAGCTTTTCTTTAAAGCATTCAATACTGAAACATCAGAATAAATATAAAAATTATTTTAGAGCAATATGCAAAGATAACACATCAACTTATATCTGGAAATGTAGCATAATCATAGTGAAAATAACATTCTGCCATAGCTATAACAATATAGAGGACATTTGATTTATCATTGCCTTGGTAAATAGTCTCAAAAATCAATATAATCAATGATTTATTTTAAATGCCCTATATAGTCTTTGTTAAATAAAACTAAAATCATAGATATATTTCAAAGTAAAATACCTTTGTAAATCCATACTATTTTATAATCCAAGGTTATAAGATGGATATTAAAATATTTGGTCATGATTGTCTTTTGGTCAATTTCTTTCACAATTTTAGTTTTCATATCGAAATGTCATTAATGTGAAATCATTTGATGAGTTTTTCCTTCACTTTGATTATTAAAAATTCAACACTGAAATAAACTTGAAACATTAGAATAAACATGAAATAATATTTTAGAGCAATAATGTAAACTTACTTCATCAACTTTTGTTACAAAATATAGCCCAATCATTCCAAAGACATATAGTAATAATTATATAAAGTATGTTCATTTATCTTCATCTTTCTAAACTAACTTGTAAAAATATATATTAATGATCTGCTTTAGAATGGTGTTTGTTAGATAAAACTAAAAACTTAAATGTTAAATACCTTTGCAGATCCATATTTTTCTTTCATCCAGGATTATGGGATGAAGAGCAAAATATATAATTAATGATTTACTTTAAATGCCCTACATAGCCTTTGTTAGATAAAACTAAAAGCATGGATATATTTCAATATAAAATACCTTTGTAAATATATATTGTTTTATCATCCAAATTATGGGATAAAATATAAAATATTTGGTACCTTTTCCTTCACTTAAAATATTAGATATTCAACACTGAAATAAACTTGAAACATTAAAATAAACAGGAAAGAATAATTTGGAGTTATAATACAAACTTACCTCATTAACTTCAGCTACAAAATAGACTTGAATCATACCAAAGATATATAGTAATAACTATATAAAGCATATTTATTTACCTTCGTTTTGCTAAACCACCTCATAAAAATATAGATTAATGATCTGCTTTAGAATGGTGTTTGTTAAATAAAATAAAAAATTTAAATGCTAAATACCTTTGCAAACCCATATTTGTTTTCCCTCCAAGATTATGGGATGAAGAGCAAAATATTTTTCCATGATTGTCTCCTGTTTTTCTTTTTTCCCAAATTTAGTTGTCACTAGCTTAAATATCTCTTGCACATCTTCTGCTTTGGGATTTGTAGTTAGCTTGCTTTTGAGAAGACATGAATCCAAAAAGCTTATAAGCCTTCCCTTGGTTTCATCCACGATTGCATTCACTATCGGTCCAACACCAGCAAAATGTCCTCCAACTTTGGCCCCAATAAATAATAAGATCAATGTATGTTTAAGTACTAGAGCAAATTTCTTGAGCCAGTTTGGTGGGAGATCCAATTCAACACCTATAGAACTCTTCACTTGATGACCTTTAGAAGTTCCTTCAGGCCATTCACACAAGTAGTGAAGTCTACCATGTGTTCCCAGTATTTTACTGTAATTTTTCCACATATTATTCTCATCAAGAATATATGGATATTTTGGGCAATCTGTCTCCAATTTCAATAATACTCGAAAACACGTTGTATGGATTGCATTCACTTTATCTATGATAGACTTGAGTCCATTCTTGAGCTCGTTAACGCTTACTTCAATGTCATTAAGTTTTGTATCCAACTTGTCAAAACGGTTCTCCATTTTATCAAACATCTTCTTAATATATCTAAAAATTGCATCGAGTTTTGGGTCTTCAATGTTTGGAAACTCAACAACATTTGATGATGCTTTGGGAA